ATAATCAGGCTATTTTTCTGTCTTATCAGCAATTTTCACTAGCAGCAACAGCACCATAATGAAAACCTTGAAATCACACCTCTGAAAGCAGCAACCATAAATATAAAAATTTGATGTTAGACAATATCTGTTACATTTTTTTATAGAAGAATGTGCTAAAAAAGTGATAAGGTTGATTGAAAAGACAGACTAAACTACAAAAAGAAACAAAATACAATTTTGAAGACATTTGAAGAACTGTATACTCAGTGGGAAAAAAATGGTGTAGAAAGTCACTGAGGTATGTAGTAATAAAAATCAATTGTCTGCAGAGCTGGCTGAACAAGTTGTAAAAAGTTAATGAAAGGAATTAAATTAGAAACACCTGGTAACTAGTAAAGTAAGGGGTTTTTAAGGTGGAAGAAATGAACACCTACTTTTATGATGAAATCCAGTTTTGTATTCCCTCTTCCCTTCTGCCTTTAAACAATACCTTTGCCCACCTATTTCTATGCTAGGTGTGAAAAGATATTTTCTGTTATTGAAGATCTTTGGAGTGTCTATCTATATTTCTTCTCCAGTACAGGTATTTCAGCTATTACACTGTTGGGATATTTAGTCTTAAATTTTTTCTTAGTAGAGAGGTGTAGAAATTTCTGTCAGCATGATTATTTAACAGTGTGGTTTATGTGAAAGCTAAGGCATAATCACAGATCAGGCATCTGCAGGTTTATTCTATACTAGATGATGTGGGATAAAAATTTTAGGCAAACTAGAAGACATATGTAAGATAATTATTCCTTTAAAAGTTCTGATATACATATACATATATAAATATGTATATGCAGATGAGCGATGAGCAAGGCTGGAAGGCAGCCAGGTTTTCCCAGCTGAGAATTCCTCTGGCACTAGGGGACTCAGCTGGCATGCAGCCTGCTTTGCTGGCTCCTGCCCCACTCTGCTTCTGTGCCACAGAGCTGCAAGTACCTTGTCCTTCAGGTGTACTTGGTGTGCATAAAGAAGCTTTCACTAGGATTTGGGACAGTGTGAGTCTGTCCTGAGAATCAGTGATCCATAATTGCTTCCATCATTCAACCTCCCCTACACCCCCAAAAACTTTTCGCCTTTCGGGCTGCATGTTTTGTATGGCTCTCGTGGTGTATTGCTGAGTGACTTTAGAATGGTAATATATTATCTTCCTTATCCCTGTAAGGTAGAAAAGCTCTGCTATCCCACATTACACAAGGGGAATTAAAGGTGTACTTAGTTTCTACTGACTTGAAATCTGTGCTTGAGTTTAAAGAAGCAGAGGGCTATGTCTATATGGCCTGGAGGAGCTAAGGTATCAGCCAGTCCTGCTCTCTGCCTCAGATTTCTGTTGTGGAGAGGCACCTCGATTTTCCGGAAGAGAATCAAAGTGATAGTCATGATGCAGATAGTCTCCAGGGTACTTTGACTCTGGCTCCAAGTATGAAGGCAGTGTAAATTTATCAGAGATTTAAAAGCCAGAGCTATTACACTAATTAGGTGCCCATAATTTCAGCACAGCATGATTAAATTTTATGAGATTTTGACTTAAGAATGGAATCCAAAATCCAGAATTTTGGGACTAGATAAAGTTAGAATAACCCAAACCTATCATGTTCGGAGGAGCCATTTAAAATTATTCCAAAAGCACTGGAAATATGTAGGTTTGTCTGAAAATCCATTCAGTTTGGGACTTGCATGTCTTTATCAAGACTGGAAGGTAAGTACCTAGAAGTCCTGTGAAAGTAAGTACTTAGGAAGGGAACAAGTAAACTTTGGTTGTACGGTACCTTCTATCCCAGTGGCTAGAGCATTCAGTGTGTAAATGGAAACCACTGGCTCTTCCAGCTGGAAGTATTTAAAATCATCATCTCTTTAGGGCTGCCTTTACAATTAGGGTACTTGGCCGTCTGCTTTGGGGCATCATTATCTTATTGCAGGCTTAAACAGATTGTACTGGAGGCAGAGAGGAAGCATAATCCTGTAGCCTAACACTTTAGACATTATACACTGTCCAATATTGAACTCTATGCAGAAGCAAGAATTAGTGCTCTGTTCTCTTGGCTTCCAGGATATTACTTGAGGTGGCAGGCACTCATTTTTGATTACTTATAACACTGAATATTGGCATATTCTATCTTTAAATCTAACTCCAGTCTGAGTTGAGAAAAGCCACATCCTTATGGATTTGGTTATCAAAAGTGATTTTAACTGAATAAAACTTCCTTGACTTGGTCTTTACTTTTCTTAAGCATCCTACTTGCCCTCAGCACTAGTGAGAAAGGGAGAGGAGTATGCCTATACTAGCAGACAAAACGGTTCCCAAGAATATTCCCAGGCACAGAAGCCAACTGGCATGGACTGACTTACAAGTACACCAGTAAACAATCGCAGCCAGCCTCCAGAACAGGGTGGCTGGATGCAAATCCTTTGGTGGTAATGGTCTGTGGGATGTTGCAGCTCTCAGACCATGTCTGGGAATTGCTTGGGAGACTACTAGTTGGTACAGGCCAAAAACATGCTAGGGACTGCTCTAATAATTTCAGACCAGTCATATTCCAGTGTCTGGGAACATTCACAAGTACTGTTTAATTCACTACCATAGACGTACCCTTAGGTTCACTGGTATTTTCCACAAACTCTTTTCAACAGTTCAAAGATGATAAAGACTGGGGATTGTTGTTAAAGAAATACTTAAAATTGAATCCTGACTCAAATACCTGCTTTGTTTTGAACCTTTTCATTTTTGGGAAATGTAAATTTATATTTTGGTTCTGGACTTCTGGTCTTCTAGTATTTATCTTGTTAGAGTAACCAACATTTTAATGTCTCATAGTAAAATAGAATAGCTTGAAGATCTCTACAGGTTTTGGAATTAATTCTGTGTGCTTTAGGGCAAATTTAGGAATAGTCAACTAAATCTGAAGATGCAGTCTTCTGTGCAGAGTCTTCTCTGTCCAATATCTATTGTTTTCTTTGATAACAGTTACTTACTTAGAAGATACTATAATTTTTAAACTATCATTACAGAGGCTTAATTTCAGGCACTGGATAGCATATTACCTACAGTTGTCATAATAGCTGTAACTGAAAAGTGTGATTTGGTTAAGTAATGGTAGTTGTCTGGCAGAGAATCGCAGAAAAGAGATAGCTTTGAAAGACTTTCAGGTTTTGCAAAAGACTGCTTCATTTTCTTGTGCAATTAACTGTGCTTATTATGTAGTAAATGAGTAAAATTATAATTGTGTTCCATATTAACTTGATACATAAAAACTAAGGCAATGTTCTGTGTGAGCAGAGATTGCCTATTTGAATTATCTTAATTTGTTCATTATCACATTTTTAAATCTTCTAATTCCTACTTCCTACTGATCACTAAATTAATTTGTTGTGCATTAGCTAAAAAAACCCAGATAATCCCCTTGAATTAAAAAAAATGAATCTGCAAGCATATAACACATGAAAAATAACTGTTTAGCCTTTACATTGAATTTAATTAATTTTCCCAATTCTTTCAGTCTTTGATTGAAAATCTTGTATGAGAGAAAAAAGGGTGAAGTTTTTACCCTATCATATATTCTTCTCTCTTGGAAAGTAAAATCAACTTAGCATAAAGAACACATAAAGAATTCAGCTTTAACCTGAGCAAAATGGTTCCCTTTGTCTCCAAGTTATTTATTCATTCAAGTACCTTTATCTGAATTGCTCTTTATTTACAGAACTAATTTAAATCCCCTGATCCCAGAAAAGGTCAGGCAAAAGCTTCTGTCACAGCCCTAATGCCCTTCATGACTCACTTTGTATTTTTATGTAAGTTTTTTCAAATCATGATGGTAAAGGGGAAAATCCCTTAGAGGATCACTCTGAGAATCCCATGGTCGGTATGTTATCTCACAGTTTTTATGATGAAGTTAGTATGAATATTTCAAAGACAAAAATTTGCGGAAAATTAGCACATAAAACTGTGGTAAGGCAACATACAGAAGTCAGAAAAGAAAGCAAGTGGCAGCTTATACTACAGCATATTCTTAAAAGGCTTTCTGGTATCCAGCTAATAGAACAGATCTGCAGCATTAGACAGTGTCATTGTTTATATAGGGTTGCATATACTAAGAAAGAAAAAAGATAGAGTAAATATGAATTATTACAAACATTTTCATTATAAAAGAAAAAATGAAGCTAAACAAGCAAGTAGTAAAAACCATGATTCTTCAGTTGTGCTATATTTTACTATCAGCTGAAAAAATGTGATTTTAAAACTTTTCTGCTTTGTTTCAGCATCACTAATTCATTTGAATCCTTTCTATTGCTACAAATAGCATAGTCTCCATACTGTAACATGATATTCTAGTCCTATTCCAAAATATTGTGAGACTATTCATTTAAAGGTAGTGAAAAAAAGATATAAAATTATGGAATGATGGTTAGAATAGTCCAGTTTTAGATGTTTTATCTAGATTTGAATTGTCATCAAAGCACCTATTCTAAAAATAAGTATCCGTAAGTATGGTTTGAAACAATGTGATGCATGAACTTCTTCTATTTTATTATATTGCAATAAGCATGCATAAATAAATACTATGATTGCCAGTTTTCATGAGCAAAGCAGTTCAATAAATAGACCTTTAGGACTGCGAGTGACTCAAGGTAAATAAATTTGTTTGAAGTACACCATGAGCAGAAGATTGCAGTCAATGTCCTCCATGTGTGAAATCTGTGAAGTTTGGTATTTTCATGCAGTCTTCTGACTCTTTAAGAAGTGATATATCAAAGAAAATCACCAAATATATTAAAATCTTGATATAGAGATGAGTTTGCAGCATTAGAAATTTGTGTCAGTTATGTGTTGTCACTCCTCAGACCAGCTATATCTGCTCTCTGTTCTACTTACTTCGTTGTGTTGCATCTCCTCAGTCTAGGGAACTTCAACTAATACCAAAAGTTGTGGCATGTTCTCTCAGCTTTCCACTTAATTTCAAATCAAAGAGAAGTTTGCAGTGGTTGGTGCCTAGTTGGCTTGGTTAGAGTCTATGGGATCTGTGGTTTGCTGCAGTTTGTAGTTTACGGTCTTCTCCAGGGGAGCTGAGTAACAGACAGCCTGCATTTGAGCCAGCTGCAGCTTTCTGCTTTTAATCACAGCTGATGGACAGTTAACTGCAGAGACTTAACAATGGAAGCAGCCAATGCTGAGGAAAGTCCAGGGACTATAAAAGCAAAGAAATAAAGAGCATTTAGAAAAAAAAAAATGTTTTTATAGGGTGAGATGAAGGAAGTACAATTTTCTCTTTACATTTAGGGAAATTCGATCTGAATTGATCTCTTACAGAACTAATTTATACACCACATGTCTTTAAAAGGTCAGGCAAAATCGTCTTGCACAAACTTGATAGTTTGCATGAGTTACTATATGTTTTCATGCCCGCACAGATTGTTGTTGACTCAATACAACACATCCAAAAAAACCTCCACTAGCTATTAAAACCAGGCACGGGACAGAGAAATACAGTTTCTATAATGCATAAAATCCGACTAAAAATAAACAGGCATGAAAAGGACTTGATGCAGAAGCTGTGGGATATTTCCTAATCTTGAACAGGTACCCAATGGAAATTACCTATTGATGAAGTGTTGCCAGACAGAAGAAAAGATCTGAGGATTAGCGCTGCAGCTGGAGGACTGGTGAAAGAGCGATATGAAAATAGAGGGCAAGGGAAGGGAGAGGAGACTGTGCAGGCATTTGAAATTCAGAGACACTCATTAAATGAGATGACATAGAGGAGAGATGCATGGATGAGTTGTGTGACCCAAAAAAACATATTCCAACAGGTCAAAATGAAGGAAGGGATCACTAGTGGACGAGAAGCTGAGCTGAAGAACAGGTGTAAATCACTGAAAAGAATGGGCAAAGAACAGGCAGAAATAGAAGAGTTATTTTCTGGAAAAAAAACAGGAGTTTTTTTCCTCTCTAAAAAAGGGGGGAAATGGAGATAGCTAGGGAACACAGCAGGAGAGATAACAATGTAATATAGGAGACTGAATTACAGAAATATAAATATATTGATCAGGGAGACCTCTGAAATCAGTTCACTTGCATAGTTGGAGGAAGATTTTTTAACAGTTGATCAGGTCAGCAATGGCTTTGTCTAGCTGAGCCTTGAAAACCTTCAACGATGAAGTCAGTCTTTCTGTCCTGATGCTGCACCACACTCTGAGCAAAGACATTTTTTTCAGTATCCAGTTGGAAGTTCTCACAGTGCACCATAGCTCCTTTCCATCTTCACACCACTTTGCTGGACTTTTCAGGTTTCTCAACATCCCTTTTGAGACAGAGAGTGGGTGAAGCAGAACACTGCATTCCAGGTATGGCCTCACTAGCACCAATTTAAGAGAAGTAAGAACTTGCCCTTGTCTCCTAGCCACTCACCTGCTGGTACAACCCAGTATGCTGTTAGTTTTATTTGTGATGAGAGCATACTGCTTTCTCCTCCGTGTAGGAAACTTGTCACCCTCAGGTGGCATCTTATAGAGTGACCAAGAATCTGGAAGGAAGGGGCTGAACATTAATATTAACACCAGGGAGCAACAAGTCAACACGAGTGAAGTTTCCTCTTTAACACACAAGAGTCACAAGAGTAAGCTTAGGGAAAAAAACAACCATACCCCAAGAGGAAAGAGGTAAGATGCTAAGAGGGAAGAGTTGCTTTATCATCTTTGAGAACAAATAACAGCAGTAGGCTCTTTCATGTATTTCCAAAGGATTACATAGGCAAGGTAATATTGCAAATTCTGATTATGTTAGAGCTACGGACCAATTTAGAGTTAAAGTGACCTCTGGAGGTAATCTGGTCCATACTCGGCTCAAAGCAGGGCCAACTTTCAATTTAGATCTAACTTGGAAGTTAGATCAGGTTTCTCAAGGCCTTGTTGAGTCAAGTTTTGAATAGCTTCCAAGATGAAGATTCCACAGCTTGGATGGGCAACTTGGTTCAGTGTTTGACCACTCTCCCAGTGAAAATATTTTTTCTAAATTTCAATCAAAATTTCTGTTGTTACCACTTAGGACCATTACCTCTTACTTTTTTTTATTGTATACCAAGAAGAAACTGTCCCTATCATCTTTTAGTAACGGAAGAGCTCCCATTAGATTTCCCTCATGCAGGCTGAACAAACAGGGCTTCTTGTGTGTGATATGTTCCAGCCTCCTGGTCACCCTGGTGGCCCTCCAGTGGGTTACTTCCAGTGTATCCATGTCCTCATTTTATTGAGAAGCTCTAAACTGAACACAGTACATCATATATGACCTCATATTTACAACATAAAGGAGAAAAAAACCCACTTCATTTGACTTGCTGGCTACACTTTTCCCCATACAGCTGTCATGGTTTAACTGCAGCCAGCAATGAAGCCCCACACAGCCACTCACTCCTCTCCCCTGGTGGAATGGGGGAGAAAATTAGAAGGGTAAAAGTAAGAAAAACTTGTGAGTTGAGATAAAGGCAGTTTAACAGTGAAAAAAGCAAAAGCCATGCATGCAAGCAAAGGAACAAAAGGAATTAATTCACCATTTCCCATGGACAGGCAGAGGTGCTCAGCCATCCCCAGGAAAGTAGGACTCCATCACACATAATGGTGACTTGGAAAGACAAGCACCATCACTCTGAAGGTCCCCCTTCCTTCTTCTTCCCCCCACTTTATGTCCTGAGCATGATGCTGTATGATACAAAATGTCCCTTGGGTCATCTGGGCTTAGCTGTCCTGGCTTTGTCCCCTCCCAACTCCCTGTGCACCCCCAGCCCCTTCACTGATGATGGGGTTAGGAGCTGGAAAAGGCCTTGATGCTGTGCAAGTACTGCTCAGCAATAACAGAAACATCACTACATTACCAACACTATTTTCAGCACAAATTCAAAACACATCCCCATACCAGCTACTGTGAATAAAACTAACTCTACCCCAGCCAAAACCACCACAACAGCACAAGACATGGTAAGCTTTCATCACCAAAGTACAGCAGAAAATCTCTGATCCTTTGAGGGGAAAGGCACTCGTGTGAACACAACAGAAGTAAAACAGATTCTAAAGGTTGGCTTTGGAGGAAAATTTTGCTCACAAGTGTTGAGTCACAGTCACTGAGAACTTTTTAATGAGGAATCTCTGAAAATGGACTCCACTTAAAGGTTGGAGTGCTGTTCTTCTGTCCAGCTAAGAGGAGTTTTAAAATACAAGCCTTAAACTGCTCTCATATTTACAGCACTGTTTCATATATAATGTAACTGCACATAAATTACTTCACATTTTGGGAGCAGCCTGGCTGCAGCAGTGTGAAGCACAAGGTCGGTTTGCTTACGCAGTTCAACCTGATGTTTAGAAATCGCTTGCACAGCAGGGATACACTGACAAAGAGATTCATGTTAATTTCCACACTTGGCAAAGGTACAGAGGAAGAAGAAAAATAGTAAAATAAGAGCACTGTAGTGGTGAGAAGAGCTAAAATTAAATCACAACATCTCATCCAATATCCTCCCATTATTTTTCAGTGTGTTTAAAGTATTTAATTCTTTTCTATAATACTGTAATTGCATGGGGAAATACAAAATAAAACACAGGTTAAGGTTAGCAAGTAAATGCCTCAGAAAATGGGTACTTCAGTATCTTATCTCCCACTCTCTTCAGATTTGAAGCATTTGAGTGCCACTGTGGAACGAACTGGCACTCAGTACCTCTGCAACGCCTTTCCCAATATGTTCTGGGCTCCATTTGCCTACTGGTTCCTGTGTGATAAATATATGCAAAATCTTGTTTCCAATCATAAACACAAAGAGCAAAAATTTCTGCTATTAGACTTCAAGCACAGCATCTTGCATTTTAAGCTGTTGCATTTCATTTGATGCAGTTTTTCTCCAGTGCAATGGAGTTGAAACTAGATGATCTTTAAGATCCCTTCCAACCCAACCCATTCTATGATGATTCAATGATATTCCTGGTTTGCATCCTTGATGCTCCCAATTATATGACATCAACATATTTCATGGTGCTTGTGTCATGATCATTAAAGAAAAAAAGCAATTAAAACTTACGGAAAGTGCAGACACCGGTGGAGTCTACCCTAGCACTGGTGTTTTAGCTACCATACCATACACGTGTAAGAGGGGGAGAAAACCATGAGGGAAGAAAAGAGATATACAGCTAAGGGACGACGCTGGCAGGATAACAAATATCTGTGAAATGACCATTATTAAATTTAGGCCAGGAATTTAAAATCAGGATGTTGGTGGAGTGTTATTTTCAAATTGCATTTCAGCAGAAGTAACAGAAGGGGAAAAAAAAGACAACTACTTTTCAAATGATTTTGCGCTGTTCATGTATTAGAACTCTGGACTTAGTGTAATACAGAGGCACTTGAAATTAAAGCTTTTTGACATTTTCACATCAGTTTTTATTGATATAAATATGACACTAGAAGAAAAGAGCAAACTGAAATTTCCTGTTTAGTTTTGCTGCTGAAAGGAGGTAGGCAAGGTGGGCTTACAACCATCCTTGTTTTCTCTGGAAAGAAAGTGGATACTTTTCCATGTCTGTCTCAGACACAGCCTAGTTGTCCTTTTCCAAAGAAAATTGTATTTAGGAAAAAGCTAATCAGATTGTCACTAAGTTTTCAGACAGAGTAAACTATTTTGGGTTAAATGCCGATTGGCCATGAGGCCAATTTTTCTGAAAGTGGTTAGTATGACACTTTTTAAAAAGGCATAGAATTAAATTACTACAAAAGGAAGATAGTATACCACAGTTGAAAGTGTTAATATATAGAGTAATATTATCATGATCTTTTATCACTTTACACATGCAGTTGTGTCATTGATTTTTAAACAGTGCACTGAGAAAGCTGAATCATGGTTCATTTCTTAATAAAACTCAATGAACCTTCAGGGTTTAACATCTCCATATAAATCTCAAGTGTTACATTACACTTTGGAAATTCATGACAAAAAATCTGGTTTATTGTGCTATAAAGTATGCAAATATTACTGTGATTACAGTTCTATAAATTCCTAGGAATTAAATTTCTCAGTTTTGCATGTAAAGAAGAAATTTGTTGCCTTTGGTAGGAGTGGTTAGCCAATATTAAAAGCCTCTGCTAATTAGGAAGGGAGATAGAGAATAGCCCAATAGTAATAATCCTGGCAATTTACAGGAATGTATGCAGCATCCTGCTTTCTAGGAAATAGAAATAATCACTCTATAATCTATATATCACGGAGAGGGACTATAATCACCCTTTGTTCCAAAATCAAAATCTTCCTGGTTTTCCAGAAATTTTTCTCCAAATAGACCTTACATGTCTTGCTCACTGAGGTATGCCCTTGACATCTCTTGCTTTCTTCTGGGTTTCTACTCCCCTCATATGTATGCATCAGTAATCAGTCTCCCAGCACACTGGGGACCTTCTCCATCTCTCTCATCTTCTTGAATTGCAACCTCTTTAGTTAGTTACTTAGTTACCACTCCCCAAAGGGGCCCTTACTTGCTTCTTCAAGTCAGTCTGTTGAAAAGCCAATTTCTATTGCCCTTCTGATTTTGCTTGTCTATAAATTGGAGAAAACTTCTCAGCATCCAAAGTACTAAAATTCTGCTTTTTTAACAAACTAACAAGTGACCTATTGTTTATTGTTCTCATACTTGCTTTGGAGTAACTGTTAGCCCAGCCCTAACTAAGCGCTGGAGCAGGACGAGGGTGGAGCACCCGCTCATTCCCCATTTACGTGAATGCTATCCAACCAGCCTCCCGGGCTGCATGGTGAGTATGCCAGCTCAACAGCTGCTGAGCTTTCTTCATCAGCCATAACAATGATCGAGCATTTGGCAGGGAGTATGAGGGAGTTAAAGAAAAGGGACTGGACAAATCTTAGAAGGACCGACTGCAAGGTCAAATGTAGCAACCCCAAAGAAGACTCTGATGCAGGATGTACCTGAAAGTATGGAGAATACTCCTACAAAACATTGCCCTACCCTTGATCAGTTTCTGATGCTGTCTCCCTAAACAATCACGTTAACCTTCTGTCATGGGGATTGATAGGTTTTTGATCTGTTTTATTATGGCAATTCCAGTAGTCATTTACAATCAGGGAAAGAGAATGGAATGTGCCTTGAAGATAATACCAGTTGTAGTCAAAGTAGAAATTAAGTGAACTAACCTTGGTAATCACGTATGAGGAAATGATATTATTCTTCATCCCCTGCAGTTTTGAGGTCCAGTTCATCAGAATAAATAAGTTTTTAATATACAATCACTGACATGTTAGGAGATATTTCAAATCAATTATCTTTAAGTGGTGTGCTTGATGGTGAGATGTCTTTCTAGATATGTAATCTAGATCAAAAAGTTGTTGCTATCACTCTGGAAATTACTTCATGAAATGTGCTGGTTACTGCTCTGCAGGATATTAGATTGGGTAATCCTAATAGCACCTTTACATTCAATCTCTTACAGATACATATAGGAAATGAACAAATTATTGGGACATAGGAAAGTGCCATGTTGAACTCTCTTACCTAGAGAGTGCACCTCTTACCTAGAATGTGCATTCTCTTACCTAGAGTAAAAGTGAAGTGGCCTGTCCTTCTTTAGTTGAAAGAAAAACCACCTTTCATTGTATTGCATTTGCAGGAGAGAAGGAATATGTATATGAACAGTTACCTCCCAAAAGCTGACACATGGCAATTCATTACCCTTTGGTACCTTCTTGGTATGTCAAATCCTTATGACCTCAAACTGATATTTTCTTACATTTTAATCATTAACTATCTACACTGAACAAACCATCTAATAATTTCTTGAAGTCACTGTGACAACCAGACTTAAAATGATGATATCTTGAGATTTTGAGTGCTGGAAGAATTATGAGTATTTGTAATTATTTAGTTTCTGATGGAAGTTGCAGCAAAACTGACTTATATGTACTTTGACAAGGTATAATTTCTATAAAGCTCGTGTCAAGCAATGCTAGCATGCATTCATCTCTTTACTTAGCTGCACTCCATTTCTGTAACAGCAATTTTTTTTGCCTAAAACTGTTTTTAATTTTTATCAACACCCCTTAAGTATGATACACAAAATTAGTCATGGTTCCGGTAAGACCAGGTTTTGAAACATTTTGAAATAAAACTTGATACTGCTGAGTATAAATACTGGTAATAAAACTTTGCAGGCAGAAGATATTGTAGTGACACTATCATGCCAAAGCAATAGTTATTTTATAGCTGATCAAAGTATCACTCATATCTAAGAAGTTGCTGATTAAGTAGGAAGTTGAAATATCCTCAGGCCCCATATCCTACCATATTGGCAAGTTAGTATTGCCACAAATAACACTCTTGGCTATTAATGTCACATTAATATTACTTCATGCTTACATCAAGTATGGAAATGAAGGCAATTAATTAAGAGTACCTTTATTAATCAGTGTCAGGAGGAGTGACTGACCGCTTAGTGGTGAAGAATATGATATTGTATAGTAAACTTTTGGCTTTTACTGTAGTTCATGTTTCTAACAAAATAATCAAGAAAAGAATCAAGAGAGAAGAAAAAATAATCTACAAACTAAGATGGAAGCTGAGAAGACATCTCAGCAGGAGAAAATGAGCAGCAAACACAAAATCATGTAATGGATGGATCAACAAGTGGTAGGCCAGAAAAAGGACTGCCCAACAGGCTTGACACAAAGACTCATTGACTCACCATTGTTGCGAGGCCACTCCTTATCATTCGGTTACTCAAGATATTTGAATCTTGAAGAGGTCATGAAAACTGGAAAAGTTTCCTGAGGACTGGCAGAAAACAAATGTTACTCTTGTCTTCAAGCAAGTCAAGTTGTAGGTTCGAAGGAGCTACAGATAAGCCAATCTCACTTTGATCCAAGTGAAAGTGATGGAGCAAATAGTCCTGGAAATCGTTTCCAAACACAAGAAGGTTAAGAATGTTATTGGGACTAGTCAACAGGGATTTACGGAGGGAAATTCAAACTTAAATGACTGGAGAGTCTTCCACAATTAAATGACTGGCTCGTTGGATAGAGGGGAGCAGTAAATACAGTTTGTGCTGACTTTAGTGGGGCTCTTGATGTTTTCTCCAATGACTTCCTGGTAGATCAGCTGATGAAGTATGGGCCAGCTAAGTGGGACGGTGAGGTGGATTGAAAACAAGCTGAACTGATGTTCTCAAAAGTGTTTTGATCTGTGGAAAAAAGCCCACCTGAAGACTAATAATTAGTATGTGGTTTACCCCACGGTTCATTACTGGAGCCCGTACTATTCAGTAATAGTCTTCATTAATGACCTCCATTATTGAACAATGTGCACCTTTGGCAGGTTGGCAGATGATACCAAACTGAGGGTCGTGGCTGAAACACCAGGGGGACCAGGCTGGAGAACTGGCCAACAGTAACATAATGAAATTCAACAAAGAGAAATCAAAAGTCCTAAGCTGGAGGAGGAATAACCCATGCACTAGTACAAAGTGCTCCTGCAGCAAAGAAGACCAGCAACATGCTGTGGTGCTGATTGTTCCCCTTTGCTGAGCAACAGGGAGAATACACCCGGAGTGCTGTGTCCAGTCCCAGGTTCCCCAGTACAGAGAGACATGAACATACAGGAGTTAGTGCAGTGAAATGCAAACAAAAATGTTTGAGGAATCAGAGCATCCAACACAGAGTGTGTGAGAACTGGTACTGTTTAGCCTGGAGAAGAGAAGGCTCAGGGGATTGTATCAATGTGTATAAATACCTGATGAGTCAGAGTAAAGAATATGGAACCAGAGTCTTCTCAGTGGTGCCTAGTGAAAGGACAAGAGGCAATGGGACAAGATGAACTAAAGGAAACTCTCCTTCAATATAAGAAAAACTTTTTTATTGTGAAAGTAGTGGAACCTTGAAAGAGATTTCCCAGAGAGATTGTAGAGTTGTCATGTTTTAAGATACTCAAAAGCCAGCAGAACACAGTCCTGAATAACTTGTTCAACTTGCCCCTGTGTTAGGAAGAAGGGGAGTGGACAGTTGGAGAAGGTGAGGTCTCTTCCCATATTTTGAGATTCTGTGACTCAGCGTCATCATGAAGTTTCTGAGAAAGATCTACATCAGTGAATGAGTGCAATGGGCAGTTTTCCTAACATTAAAACTGATATCCTAACTGGAAAAATAAACCAAAACACTTAAAGCAAAGAACTCATGAGTAGTAGTGTAGATGGAGGCATAAAAGTTGCTTAAGAGAAATACTCTGGAAGACACTATAAGCCTTAAAAGGAATATGATGCTACGCTGCAGATACCAAATAACTTGTAGCCCTAATTACACAGTTTAGAAAGGGTTTTAATGAACAAGACAGATTTAAGCACAGGGTTAAGCGTATTCTCCTACTAAAAGATTATGCCATGTTGAATAATTACAAGGACCAACATGTATCCTGTTCTGTGAAATGTAGCTCATTTTATGTATGGGTTTTTTGTATGCCTGTTTAGAATCCTAGGGAAATAAATAGCTATGACATATGAAGCCCACAATAAACATGAAAGCAGAATATATAAAATGGATGTTTATTGAAAATTTGTTGTAACTGTAAATGTTAAGTCAAAATATGTTAAAACATGAGATATGTCCTTACTGAGTTAATGTTCAGCCTGTTCAGTAAGCAATTCTTAAATGCTCTTCACTCTAAGAATCATAACAAATACAGTGGAAGACTTATTTTGTAAAAGAGATATGAATAGTAGGTGAATCAAGTGTAATTGCTATTGGCATGTTTGATGCAATTATAGGGGAAAACATGATTAATAGCGATTAAATTTATGGTTGGTTAAAAATAAAATATAATGCCTAGAGAGAGACCACAGATGAAGCTAAATGCATTAATATGAAAATAGGCATATGAAAGTAAAAACCTGTAGCAGTAGCGAGCCTAAATATATTTCCTCTTAATTGTGGGGAATAAATATTACCTCTGAAGTTGTGGGAAAAGAGAATCTTGTTTAAAAGAGAAGGCACATTTGTTCAATGCACAAAAAGACTAATTGCTGTTAGAAATCTGTTCATTGCTACTGACTTACAGAGTAATGACCCTGGCATATACAAAAGGAACATGTCAAGTAGACTGAGAGACAGACACTGAGCTCAAGGTGACTTTGCCCTGTGTTCCTCATATTGCCGCCCAGCACTACAGCAGACTTCCTTGACACCACGATTTGATGGAGCCAGAAGAGTGGGGTACTGCAGACTGCCCTGCATCTCAGAGAATGCAGATGTCATTTTAATTTTCTACATGCAGAGGAGCTTAGGCACGCAAAACCACCTCTGTCTTTAGACAATGGTGGAGGGAGAGCGTGAGATCTTCCAATGGTTGCAAATTAGGTGCATTTGCTTACAGAAAGTCTGGGAATTCTTTACATTGTTCATGAGAGAAAGGGTATGAAATATATTTAAGCTGAATAATGGAACACGTAAGGGTCTTCTTCAAGAAACCTCTGAACCTGAAGTGTGTGAGACAGACTTGATGATAAAAATAGCAAGTAAAAGTGGATTGAATATTAGCAATAGACTAAAATAATGCCCATAAATGATGTATCCAATCTAGTATGCCATAAATGTGCATGCCCAACATCTGAAACTCACCAAACTAAGTAAAATAAAGGGAAATCGGAAATGTGGCCTGAGGCATGTTGCTTTCTTTCATCTGTTTTAGGAATGTCCCACTACAGCAGACTGTAGAAAAGAGCTAAAACAACAAGACATCTTAACCTTTTGCCTTATTTACATCTGTTTAAATTATGTCTCATTCTAGAATTAAAAAAATTACTAATTTTTTTTTTACCACTCGTGACATTGTTTTTTCCTAAACAGATGAAGAAAATTGTATTAAAACTGAACACTAGAGACACATTGCTGTAACGAAGGAAACAGTACAGGGCAAAGAGGAAAATTCAGGGAAGTTCAGAAAAACATCACATGTTCAGACGTCATATAGCAGAGGTAAATCTTTTAAAAAGACTGGAATTGTATCAGAGCTGAGTTCAATCCTCTGAGGTTACGTGAAGACAAACATCCCAATAGATTATTTGTGGGATAGAGAAAATATATCCCCAGTTCAGGACGCTTGTAGTAAATACACAAACAGATGGGAATCCACAAATACTTAATTTATAACCACTATACCAGCTTGTACAAATGAATAGTTAATTACTTGTTTATATATTTTGCATATCACCACTCAATAATATTTTATGTTCTTCTTCCAAATCAAATACCCAAGTAGAGTATAAATAAGGAGGGTTTGTCATTCGGATAGGTAATATATATATCATATGAACATCTAAATCCCACTGTGTTGTAATAAAATTTCGAAAGAAATCAAAAGATGCTCTTTTTTCTTCTCATTTGTTCTTTTCAATTTCTGTCATGTTGCAACTTTGCTAATGCATAGTCCAAACCTTCCCGTATGGCATCTTTGGTACTTCCCTACACATACATTTCAGTAAATGGGCTTCAGTCCAAATTCTGATTCCTTTCCCTTTTGTTGTTCAAAACAATTGACTTCAAACTGAAACATAAAAGAGAGAAGAAAAGGTTGTTTTCCCTACATGAAGAACCACAGCAGTGTTTTACATTTTCCATATGAATACAATTGTTGTTTGCATCTTACTTGCACACTGCATCCTACATTTGGATTCTGGCAGGTAAAGTTATGCTTTGGGAGCTTGTTGATGCTTTGTCCAATTCCAAGCAGCACTGTAAGCTTTGTTATTGTTCACTAGACACTGCCCCTCCCCCATATGCTACTTAAATCCTTTTTAAGATCAGTTTTCTGGAGTCCATCTGGCATTTTCAGACCCCTATTACAAACGTGCTTTGCCACTACACAGCTGGGATGTGCTGTGGGCTGTGAGAGACCGTCGTGCTTTCTTACATACACACAGCAACAGAAGTGCTTTGTGTTTATACTCCTCCGCATGTTATCTATAATCTAATTTCAAACATGTTAATGCTAAAATAAGGCTTCCAACTACTACGTCTATATAATTATACACCTAAAGCTTTCTCAATCCTAACTTTATTGCCTAAAAAACGTTTACAGATACCATACCCCAGGCAAAGTTCTCTAATGCTTCGTTTAAGAAATGTTAGTACCTACTCTGTGGAAATTAACTGGGATAAACCCTTGCTTTTTTAGGATGGCTTCTTTATATCCAATTTAGGTATCAAAGCCTGAAAAACTGGCAATGTGTCTGAAGCATTTGGAGATGAAATGAGAAACAATTGTTAAAAAAGAGGTTGAGTTTACGTCATTTTAAGCCTGGCCCAGACAGAATAGTAATTTAAACCCAAAGTTTTGTATGCAAGTATGCAAGGAGGGGTGAGCCAGTGTTGCTGGTCCCTGTATCTGACTCAGTTTCCCTGTGCATAAATAGCTGAACACTGCCTGGTCTAGATCTTCGGACTCCTCTTGCATCCCCCTAAGCATCACTCCTCTGACTGCCTGAGCGTGAATCTTCCTCCACTGCCTTGTTTTCCATGCTTCATCTTGTGTAACCTACCCAAACGCTCGCTCACATGCTGTTTGAAGCACATGGCATCGAACTCAGTAGTGCATTTTGGGTGAGCTCTGAGCTACTGGTTAAAAGTGGACAATTTCCAACCTGACAGTTTGACAAACCTGGTAATTTATTTTGATGATGAACTGGGAAATCAGTTCTCAGCAAATCCTACTAGCAGTCAAAATGTATAATGGAACAAGAAACATTGGCATTGTCTTTAATGAAGTACAGTAGTTCAACCATGGAACCTGTGGCATTCAAAGAAAGGTGAAGTACTAGGTGTAGTGAATCCTACCTTGGAAACTACTTTTGTGAATCTGGAGGTATCTTTCCTATGCAGTTTGAAATAAATCATCTGCATTTTCTCTGATCCTGGGAGTACAACATTCAGGACAGTTTGTTCATCATCAATTTACAAGTTTTCCATGAGACCTAGGGCAAATGAAAATAATTCAGTCTAATCCTTAGTTTTCTAGTAATGAAAAATAATAGTATTTGAGGGCAGTTTGTTTCAGTGATGATGATGATGATGAAGTATCTACAGTAGTTTTCTTTCTTTGTCTAAGTAGTAGCAAAATTCAGAGCTTTGGAGTTGAGTTTTTCATATGAAACAGGAGTCAGTTATTTATCTAATGTAATTTCTGCATTGAAAGATTATGAAGAATTTTCTTTAAATAGAATCAGGAACAAAGAGCAGAAGGGTAATTGCATTAGACACATTGCTGCAACCAACCATCACTCAAATAATATTAAGCTTTCCTCAGCCTCTTTCTCTGTTCTCGAGAGAAAGATGAGTGCTGCCAGGCAAAATTCAGAAATACCATGATTGGAAATGTTTGTATCTCACCATCTTTATGCTCATGATTACTTCCTCCTCAGCTGAGACAGATGAATCAAATCACTGCCTCAAACATTTCAGGATAAAACCAGCTGGGCATCTCTAAGTCCTGCATGATGATAGTTCATGGCATCCAGGTGACCTGGCATTGAACAGAATGAAGGGCACACACAAACTGTTTCACTGTCAGCTGTAAGGTCAATAGTTTTCTAT